TCTTGAACGCAATCAAACTTCTGAAAGCTGGAAAAGCAGCCGGACCAGATGGAATACCCCTGAAGCACTGAAAGCAGACCCAGAGACGACAGCAGACATGCTGACTCCATTATTGCAAAAGGTCTGGAAGGAGGGAAAGGTGCCTACTGACTGGAGGAAAGGTTACCTCGTGAAACTACCAAAGAAGGGCGACTTACGCCTCACTCTGCAAGAACTGGCGAGGAATCATGCTCCTATCGACGCCAAGTAAAATCCTGAGTCGCATCATCCTGGAGAGATTAAAGGACGCACTGGAGACAGAACTCCGACCAGAACAAGCTGGATTCAGGAAAGGCAAATCATGTACTGACCAAATTGCAACTCTACGCATCATCATCACAGAACAAAGCATGGAATGGCAATCAAACCTCTACCTCAACTTTATAGACTTTGAGAAGGCCTTCGACAGCGTTGATCGTGAAGTAATTTGGAAATTACTCGAGTACTATGGCGTACCCCAAATATTCATCAACCTTATTCAACAGCTGTACGACAACGGCACATGTCAAGTGATCCACAACGGAAGACTCAGCGAGGCGTTTGGAGTAAACACAGGAGTCAGACAAGGGTGCTTACTATCACCAATGATATTCCTAATTGTGGTGGATGACTGGATTATGCGTCAGACAGTGGGAAACGAGAAGACAGGAATATCCTGGACCGACGTGAAGAACCTAGAAGACCTGGATTTCGCGCGTGGATGATTTATGTTTGATGTCACACAAAATCGAAGACTTACAAGCGAAAACCGACAAACTGGTCGAAGAAGCAGCAAAGACAGGACTCCAGATGAAAATCGACAAGACGGAGGTTATGAAGATAACCAACCAACCAACAACAACAGCAGAAATATCCAGCGCCAATCACCATCAGTGGGAGGGATTTGAAAGAGGTTACTTTATTCACTTATCTAGGGAGCATTGTCTCAACTACAGGGAGTCGGAACGGACGAGGATGTCAAATCGAGCGAGAATCGTGAAGGCGAGCGAGAAACACATTCATCAACCTGAAAACCAATCTGGAAATCTTCGTCATTCAGCCAGCACCAACAACAAAATTCAGTCGGATTCTCAATACAAACATCAAGTCAGTCAGTTCTTCTATACGGATCAGAAACCTGGCGAGTGGGTCACAAAGAGTATTTCCAGCAGCCTGTTGCAGACCTTTATCAACAACTGTCTTCGCTCTATGCTGAAGATCAGATGGGCGGGCCGGAAAGAATCACCAACAAGAAACTATGGGAGCAAACAAAACAAGAATTAATCGCACAACAAATATGCAGGAGAAAGTGGAGATGGATTGGACACTCGTTGAGGAGGCCGGTTGGTGATATCGCGCGTCAGGCCATTGCTCGAGTGGAACGTCCAAGGGTGACATGGAGGAGATCGTGTGAAGAGGAGTTGAAACAGTATGAACTAACATGGATGCGGGTGAAAAGTACAGCAGAAGACAGAAGCAAGTGGAGACGTGCAGTTGAAGCCCTATGTTCCACTAGGAACCCAAGGGAACAATAATAATAATTAGCGCAAAGGTATCCGTTATCTTAAGCCTTCCTAGACGAGAACACTATGATGACAGATGAATAGGAAAAAGAAATTCTAACTGTTACAGAAATTTTCAAGTGTTGGTTTGTAGGGATTTGATTTGTTTCAGATTTGATTATGGATTGGTGTCAGTTAGAAATTTTAAGGAAAATTATTATGCAGAGAAATTTATTAAGAAAATCAACATCAACATTAAACATAACCGAAAATGTATTCCGGAAAAATGAACACCATATTGATCAAATACACCTGATAAGATCAGAAAAGTACTCAATAAATGTTACAACATCAAAGTTTTCCTCAAAATATAAGACGCTAAAAAGCAACAAGGAAGACGGAATTCCAGGGGATTCACAATCTGTTCATAAAACTGAGTGCTTAGAATGTGTTGTGATATACATCAAACCTCACAAAAAATCAAGATCAGAAGGAATTAACGGTCTTTATTCCACCACCAAAAACACCCATGGGAACTAGCAAAGCTTAAAACGGCGTCTGCCATAGTTCTACATTCCACAGAATAAAGCCACAAAACTGATTTCGGTAATATTGAAATCATTTAGAAAATTTTCAGTAACCACAAAGAACGTCTCATAGCGAAAGCTTAGATGAAATCCAAACTGTCTGCATCTAGTTTATTATCTTTACTATTTCACCAATTTGATAACTCTCATGACCTTAGAGTCAGCTTTGTTTCCCTGAATTGTTGCATAGTAAATTCTGTGCAGTCCCTTAATTAATTTTCCAATATATTTCTCTGACACATTTGCATTACTTTGTTCTCTTGTTCCCCCACTACCCGTTTGTTTTCAATCAATTATTCACCACCTAACTTACTAGCTGCTAACCCTCTTGATTACACAAGAGTATTCACTGTTTTTCACACAGTGTTAACTCTCATAGACTTTGACTTAGACTGTTACTACTTACGGATAATAACCTCTAACCTTCGTTCTCAATTAGTATATACACATATGCAGCCCTAAATAACTATACCGCTTGGAAGTGAAGTTTTTAAAAAATTCTCTTTGCTGACTTATGTGTTCTTAATCATTCCATCGATTAATATTTCCCAATCGGTTTACGGAGTAATTTGCCTTAAGCTGTGGTAAGAAACAATGGCTATTTGAGCTAGCTTCAAAGACCTTCAATTTACGCAAACAGAAAGGAGGAGCTAAAAACTATTGTTTCAGTCCTGAATGCTTGATGGTATAGCCCAACTCGTAGGCGCAAAATCTGATTTGCCTTGTGTGTCTGTATAACAAAGAGTCATTAGTAATAAAATGATAATTCTGAACGGTGAACCTTACAACCAGTGAACAGTCTCACATAATATAAATATGCGCTTAACTGCAACACTAATCTCAAAATCAACATCTGTTAAGAAACAAGTACAAAATCTAGGCTCACGGCTTCCTGCTGACTGTATCCAACCCCTAACATCAGCAGACTTCTGTCACAACCATTCAAACACTACAACTGACGGAGAGGTCTTAGAGATGACTGCTTAGTAACGTGTGATTTTTAGAAGCGAATATGTAGGAAAGCTAGAACATTGGATAGAATAACTTGACGAACAAAAGAATTGCATACAAATATTTTTTATTTAACCACTGTTACCTGAGAAAATTCGAATTTGTAACTAACCGTATTTAGTCCATCCTTTCAGGGAAGATGAAACAGAAAGTGGGATAAATTTATTCCTCGCTAACATACATCTTTACTCTAACCAAACCTATGGTTTTCTTCTAATTTAATGGTCTGACGAAAGATAATTTAACAGTGCATAGAGGTTTATGAGCTGAAAATTTTTTATCAGGAACTGACAAGCGAATTGTTGTTAGGTAAGACTGTCTGGATTACTTAAAAGTCTCATGTTTGAAGTCATTCGATAAGAAGCTGCATTGTGCTTAACAGTACTGATAAAACAGAATTGTCTTTATTCTTCAAAAAACCCTCCTACGTGTTACATACTGCTGAACACAGTCATTTTTATACGGACTTAATTGTGTCTTAAGTGACTCCTTTGAAGACCATTTGGCGCGAATTAGTTAACCACGTGATACTTCGATAAATGAGCCAGTTGACAAGAGACGTTTTGACAGTAACGCATTATGGAAAGAACTCTGTCACCAGATTTAATTGCCTTTTTCATTAGAGTTCTTGCCATAGACAGAACTCTAGAATGAGGTATAACATCACCACTTTTATTGAAGTTTACTGTGGTACACTTTCCTGACACTAAAGTACATAAATAGGATAATGCTAAAATAGCTAAATGTTAGTTGAATAAATTGCTAGATAACCTCCGGGTACTCAAGATGTTTTAAAATTTGTTTTAACGAACTTTCGATATCAGTTCAATTTCTATTGTGCACTTGAATTCTCTTGGTTATCTTGTAGATCCTTGGAGTACTTAGTTCATCCATAACATGCCGGATAGGTTCTGCATTTCCTAAAAAATATCAACATTTTACGTCTCAAATATAATAATCTCACGAGCACTCTTCTAAGTAATCTGGTCACTTCATATTTTGCTTCTGTGTCAGTTCTTATGGTTTAGATAAGCTACTGATTAATTTAGTAGTAGTATACATCACTTCAGGATGAAGAATAGGCAAGTCGTCGAGTAGTAACAACACATTCATTCTGTACATTTGTATTACACCTACAGCAATCCTTCTTCGACCTACGGATGCTGGTAGGAACTCCTCATAAACCAGTCAGTTTGTCAGTGCTAAAATAGGAAAATGGGAAGAAACTTTCGTCCATCGATATTGGAACAGAGAGAACCAGTGTCTTGAGATTTTTTTCATTCACGTTCCCAGTGGAACATAGGACCTAAAGCTAGTGGCTTGGAGTTTCTGTGGCAGTGTTTAATTTTACAGCATGGGGTTGCTAGCCTCATGCCCGACCTTTCATCTTTACCAGGATTAATTCTGGCTTAGCGAGGTAGCGTCGAACGGGGATCGAACTCCGGACCATGTGCATGGTCGGCGAGCGTCCTAACCGCTGTGTCTTGAGATCAATATTTTCTAATACTGAAGCTACCAGCTTGTCTTACTCGCACAACTGATGTTAATGTTGTCCTTATTTCGATTTCCTATGAAAACATTTAGTGCATACAACCTGTGAATATGTAATTCATTCACCCATATCTTTGCAGCTAACTGACAAGTATACAAATACCGCATTTTTACAGTGCCGCTACTATATACACATAATAAATATTAGGCATATATACAATTACCTGTTTCTGAGAATTTATGATTAAAGTGTTCTTATACTGAAACCGTATGAAACGATATATTCAAAGTACACAATGATTCTTAAAGTCATGTAAGTCATAAATAAGACAATTAAAACTTGGAAAATTAAAAGGAATTGTCAAAAATTTCAAAATTGACACATTTGCTTCTATGTACCTGATCGGATCCTGTGTGAAACAACACGTACAACATCATTAAATACTGATAACATAAACTCATAATAAAAAAACGTCAATATTCCCCATGTTAGGCATAACAACAAACCGACTACACACGCCGTAATTACCAAGTGTCTTGCTATATCACTTTTACGCCGATATCTGTTAGTATCAGAGGCACGATAATCAGTATAGGCACATAATGAATAAGCCAGTGCTGGAACTGAACACCATATTGTAATTGGACAACAGAATATTGCAAATAAACTGCAAACTATTGGACATTTATCAAATGTTTCTTCACTAGACAATGGTTTAAATATTTCAGGATTATTATAACCATTTTGATCTACTCCAGCAATTGCTGAAGCAGATCTAACTAGAAATGCTTTTGCTGCTTGTGGCTGATACTGGTGTACAAAATATGACTGCTGTTGATTTTGTTGTTGCTGTTGCTGCTGTGTTTGTTGGTGGTTAAGAATATGTGAATAATTTTGTTGGTAGTACTGTTGTTGTTGTTGCTGCTGCTGACATGGTAATGGTGTGCAAAGATGACGGTTAAGCGGATTTGTGGTATATGCAGCATAGGGGATATTATAGTCTGTTGGAATAATACTAGCATTCTGCTGAACAGTTAAATTATATTGGGGATGGTGTTGATTGTAGTAAGCCGGTTGTAGAGAAGTATTATATACGAAGGGGCCATTTCTTCCTTCATTATTAAATTCCTCTAACATATTCCTGTCCACAGGAGTTTGTAGGCCAACTAAACTACCCTGTGGATCATAAATTGGCAAAGTGTTAAACGCTGCACCACAAACTTTACCACTTGTATTGACCAGATTGTGATGATTAGTTATACTTTCATCATTGTCCTCATATTCCTCTTCCTCTTCTCCCTCTTCCTGTATAACGTGATTTGATGTTTCATCAGGATTTGGATGATTTGGAGAGAAGTTTTCTGCATGAGGTGAAGATGTTGACTGTGCTGATGAAGACTGTTGAATTCCATTCATAGCTGATTTCCTTTATTCAAAGTACATTGAGATTTCTCATCTTAAATGGAAAAAAACGAAGCATGACTGTTTACGTAATCAACTAACTTTACTTCTTAATTATAACTTCTAGACTCATGATACGATTGCAACACACTAGTATTTCAGTCTTTGAAGAGCTCATCAACAAACCCTGCAAATATCTTAAAGTTTTTTGCATTCCGTGGCGTGTGTAATAGATACTACTGATGAGATTTTGTAAGCAGTGCACTGTATGTGATATCTTCTGCAAGAATACCTAACAGCTGAAGGATGGATTAAATGATGAAGAGAAAAAACGAAAGATTTTTGTGAAAAAAACACATAGGAAACACGAGAGGAAGACAAAAGAAACACAGTACGGAGAACATGTAAAAAATTTGTTTTTTTTTTGTTATTAGATGGTTGGGAGCAGTCAGCTGGAAGCCTTAGAGCTACGTTTCGTGCTTGTTGGCACGCGTCAACAAGGCATATCTACAACCCTGAAGGAACTCAGATCTCCTCTGAGATCCGAACCGGTGTCAGTCAGTCCTACAGTCAGAGACTTTACTATTGATCAATTAGGGCTGACGGCTGACTTCTTATATGACTGTAGGATATATGAATAAAAAAATTCCACTGCCGAATACCATCGTGTTCTGCTCTTACGTATCTACCAGAACGGTAGTGAAGATTTGAATTAAAAAAGATAAAGGACTTTTGAAGATAAAAGCGAATTCGTAATTAGAATTGATGCTTGTTTCCCCCAGATTTAAAGCTAATCCTACATCCGACTAGGGAAAGCAAAAGTTATTTTGATTTAAGTAAATTAAGCTCGAAATTGTGAGAGGTGAAATATAAAATGTGCAATATATAAGAGGAATCATAGGGAACATGAAAAGTCTAATATGTGGACAAAATGTTATACCTTTTTATGTTAATTCAACCATCTTAGTAGTCAAGTTATCAGGAAAACGAAATTTAGAAATCCCTTTTAACTTTATTCTCATCAGTTAGCATTAATGCCTTGAAATACGTTTAACAGAATGTCAGGTTATCTTTTGACGGTAAATGTGTGAAACATAACCTTATGAAATGCTTCGTAAAATTATTTAAGTCTATATAGAAGAGATGGTAAATCAAACAGTCTGAAAACAACAGACTACTGATTACAACCTCAAACGTATATTCTGCATCTCTCAATAGAGTATTTTAAATTAATCTGCTGTCAGAAATACTAGCTGCATTCCAGTGTTAGTATTTAGATTAGGCAATAGATGCTTCTGATGGGTTCATCTCTCAACTGAAAAAGAAAGAAATACTGCCATTATTTCTCAAATAACATGCTTTTCATTATCACTGAATATTCAGTCACAAATTGACTGTGTTCTCTGAAAGATGTACGGAAAAAAGTAATCGTTGTACCTTAATTCAACTGAAATCAAACCGTTATACGATGATAACGTTAACTTTTGACGTAAGTAATAGGTGTCATAATAGTATAGTGTAATCTAGTGTACTAATTTATGCTGAACATGTATTTATGATTTCAAGCGTACAAAGAGACGGAACCGAATTCCCGCAGATAGACTAAATGAAATTTTCTGCTTTTAAAGAAATAATACTATTTTTTATTTTTATTTTTTATTTTATTTTATTTTTGATTACAGCTTGATTCCACACCGTATTTTTGGTACATGTATGGAATTTTCAGCGTGGATATCGGTAGCCCAAAATTCACAGGCCGACCATAGATATCAGGTGTGCGTCGGCGAGGGCTCGAACCCCGGACCATGTGCATGGCCGGCGGGAGTCCTAACCACTGTGCCACCGACTACAAATACTTTACTAAGAAAAGAATTGAAGAATTTGGTCTAAATTATGAAAATTATTGTACAAGTTTTCACCAGTTGACACTTTAACCCTGGATAGGTATTTTGGTTTTGTTCATCAATGAATATCAGTTATATTGCATAGAGGATTTCATCATGAGCTGATATCAGTTAGACAACCACTGGAGAACCTAGAAGCACTGGACAGCTGTTTCGTCCTAGTTTGGGACTCCTCACAGTACGCACTCACCGGGGTTCGAACCCAGGACCTTCTGGTTACAAGGTGAGATCGTAAACCATTGAGCCACTAGGACCCGAATATCAGTTATCTTTTCTATTTTCGAGTTATTTAATTTATGTATGGAAGTACACTTCTCCTCTACAAAATAAATCATTAAAAAGTCAGGTTTAATTTTGTCGTATGGATTTCTTTGATTACAAATGACTGCTATTTTAATAAACCATCTACAAAAGGCGTCGGTGGCATAGCGGTTAGGACGCTCGCCGGCCATGCTCATGGTCCGGGGTTCGATCCCCTACCGACCCACTCCTTTACCTCGCTAAGCCAGTAATAATGCTGGTAAAGGTGGAAGGTTGGACATGAGGCTGGCAACCCCATGCTGTAAAATAAACCCTGCCACAGAAACTTCAAGCCACTGGCTTGACGCCCTATGTTCCACTGGGGAACGTGAAGGGAAGACAAAACAAAAATCTACAAATTACTACTTTCAGTTAGTAGTAGTCATACAAGAAAGAAAATAAGTAAGCTAAAAATTGATTCATCCTAATTATGTAGTTAGCGTAGAGAATTAACTAATGCCAATATCTTGATTCGCATAAATTTCATCGGAATCTTTAAACAAGAGGAAAACTGATTCTGACGTATTGAGAGCCTCCGAAGGTTCCAGATGTAGTGCAGCCAGGAGTTGAGAGATGCGGACTAATGCATTCAGTCCCAGAAACTGAATGATAACGTGCTTGTCTTAACAACAATATTAGTTTTTCCCTGGAGATAGTGCCTAGACACACTTTTGAATTCTCAGACTAATTTCTTGCGAAATATGTAATCCCCACAGAGAATCTTTGAGTAAAATATTCAGCGATAGTATGTCATAGGACACAGCATCATTCTGTCCTAAAAAATACCTAACCCTCTAACATAGTTCTCTTCGTTTTCTTCGTGAAGTGTGAAGGAGGAAAGGTGGAAGCAAATTAAAAATTTCAATATAGAAAAAATCCCCATTTAAACACCTAGAAAACAGAGAGATTGAGCAAAGAAATATTTACTTTTCAATTAGATCGTCATCTCTGGCTCTACTCTAATATACACGTATAGCACTTTTATTACAATACACAACAGTTTACCAATGAAGTGGTGATATGTTTGTTAACAATAATTAGTCAGTGTCAAAATGTCAATGGGTTGATAATTAACGAAGAAAATCAATACACATTTAAAAAGTAGAAATGGTCAGAATAAATTAATTTTACCAGGATTAAAAATTTGTGTGAGTTCATGTTACTACCCAAGGATATAACTGGGAGATTAAAACAACAAGCAGTGGAAGAAAGTAAATGCACTTTACTGGATGGGAATTTAAGTAGCCTAGTGGCCTAAACAGGCCACCAATATGCTCAATGTTTAAAGGGGCAGAATCGATACTGAATTATTATTGTACACTTCTGAAAAATACTGAATTAAAATGATAATCTTCGACTTTTTTAATGATTCCCGCAATATAGATAATTTTTAGTTTCCCCTAAACATCACGACTGGATACTTTCTTTAACTTTAGATATGCTTTATTGCTTCATATTTAAGAGTTACAACAGTTGGTAGTAAAATGTCTATCCGTTTGCACATAATCCACTAATTTCGCTTTTCATAAAAATATAACATAACTTGCTAAATAAAATCTCGATATTTTTAATTTAGGATTGGAGTGGAATGTATTTGTGTAACAGCTGTTAGCGAAAACGAGAAGAACTAACAATGTTATCATGCCATCCGATATATTTATAACTACAGACTTGGTTATTTCATCTTCCGTAGGAATGGAAATACAATATCATATGATATTTCAACAGTTCTGTATTTTATTGTTTAAACACCTTAAGACATTATCAAGGTTAAAAAGATGTTCAGTTATAATACAATAGACAAATACCTACAAATACAAATAAAAGGAAATGAAAAAACAGCCTGTTTGTGAAATATTATATGTATACATTTTAAAAAAGTTTGAATTAGTAAATTCATACTAATTCATGCTATCTTTAAATATACCTGACAATTTAGGTGTCTATTTTAAAGGACTTAATACATGGAATCACCATACTTATACCTTAACTTATAACTGATTATCTGGCCAAAATGTATTTTTCCTATTATTGTTATTATTGTTTCCTTTAATTCCTAAAGGAGCATAAGGCTTCAGCTGCACGTCTCCACTGCGTTCGGTTCTCCGCCAACATTTTCACTTGGTTCCACGTCTGCCCACATGCTTTTATATCCTCTTCGCATGACCTCCTCCACATCACCCTCGCACTGACGACCAACTCGCCGCTTCCCGTTAGGGTTCTACTCGAGCGATGACCTGGCGTGTGATGTCACTCACTTCATGGTTTATTTTCCCAGAGTATGGCCAATCCACCTCCATTTCTTCCTGCATATTTGTGGCACAATTGCTTCCTGGTTGGTCCACTCCCAGAGATCCCTGTTGCTAATTATTTATGGCCATCTGAACTTGAGCGAAAACAGCTGTTAATGAAAGTCTGTAGTTTGTTCGAAGTGGCCTTCGTGACACGCCGAGTTTCTGGTCCGTATAGTAGTACTGACTTGACATTGGAGTTGAAAATCCGGATCTTGTTTTTCATGCTGAGTGCTGTTGACCTCCACACAGACGTGACAGAAATGAAAACTTGCCTTGCTTTCCTGATCCGTACTTTGAAACGATGCTCTCCTAGTAGGCAGGTAAAGGAGGTTTCTTCTTTCAGTCTTCTCCCATTTATGCTGATTGTTGCCTGTTGTTGTTGCTGTTTCTTTTCGCCGAGAACCTTCATCACCTCTGTTTTCTCTATGTTCATCTGAAGTCCTATCTTTGACGCTTCTTCAGCCAACTTGTTGCTTTTCACTTACATATCTTCCAGTTTTTGGGAAATCAGACATAT